CATATATATATATCAACTGTATATATATGTGTGTTTATGTATTTACCTATATATGTATATATGTCTGCATGTATACACGCATATATCTGTTCTGTTTCTCTGAAGAACCCTGACTGATACAGCAGCAATGTGGGGAAATGGGGCCTTTCACTCACTGCTAGTGGTAATGCAGACTAACCTGGAACAGCGCCATCTGGAGGTGATTGCACAGAACCTACCGAATGCTGACCGTAGGAACCAGTCACAGGAAGCAATTCAATTGCCCGGCTTCTCTGGTGGCTCAGAGGGAAAAAGAATCTCCTTGCAATGCAGGAGACCGGGGTTCGATCCCTGGGTCGAGAAAGTCCCCTGGAGAAGGGCATAGCAACCCACTCCAGGATCCTCGCCCAGAGAATTCCGTGGACAGGAGAGCCTGGTGGGCTACAGTCCATGAGGTCCCAGAAGAGTCAGACACAACTTAGCAACTCAGTAACAAGTCAAACGGCCAACAATTTACAGTAGGATGCCTGGCAGCCACTACATGGTGAATGCCAGTGTTTGGGAAGATGCCCTAGAGAGGCCCTCTCTGTTAGTGAGCAGTGGAACTGGGGTCTTGGAAGGCGGTGAAGTCATCCAGATGATGGGACTGGGCCGGTTGCTACATTCTTCATGTGCATTGTTAGCCTCAAGCTTTGCTTCTGGGGAGCAGTCCCAGCCCCACTTTCGGCCAGATTCCTCTGCGGCTCCACCCACCCCATCTAGGCGCCTTTCTGAAGGCCCTAGGCAGAGGAACAGCTTGGGGAAGAACGCCTCCCCTGTTTGTCCCCTGGCAGGACTGAAGCTGGTCCTCGAAAGCAGGTACAGAAGGAGGCGTGTCCACTTGAAAAGGATATCTCCCCACCCTTCAACCCCTAACTTGACCATGGCCAAGCAAACCTGGCTCCCTGCACAACCCTCTGACCAGCACAGTTCAAGAGGCAGCAGCAGACTCAGATGTATAGAACAGACTTGTGGACTCTGTGGGAGAAGGCGAGGGTGGGATGTTTCGAGAGAACAGCATCGAAACATATATATCATCTAGGGTGAAACAGATCACCAGCCCAGGTGGGATGCATGAGACAAGTGCTCGGGCCTGGTGCACTGGGAAGACCCAGAGGGATCGAGTGGAGAGGGAGGTGGGAGGGGGGACCGGGATGGGGAATACATGTAAATCCATGGCTAATTCATTTCAATGTATGACAAAAACCACTGCAATGTTGTAAAGTAATTAGCCTCCAACTAATAAAAATAAATGGAAAAAAAAAAAGAGGCAGCAGCAGCCTGCTCTAGGGGTGCTGGGGAGCAGAATAATGGGGCAGCCCGGCAAGCCCTTTTCCCTCAGCAAGGTCTGTGGGGAAGGCTCCTGCCTCTAAGGAGTTGTGACCCCTGGAACTTGCCCAACCCTGAAACACTCCAGTCTCTACCCTGTGCTCACACAGTCCCCTCTACCTTGCCAAATCCTGACCAGCCTGTGGTCTCAATCTCTTCCCATCCCATCCCAGGAAACCTTCCCCAGTCATCTCAGCCATGCACGTCCCTCCTTCTTGGAAGTCCTCAGTATCTGGCCCAGCACTTCATATTACAGCCTCTTTACACTATGAGATACTCTGCAAGTGAAGAGGCCTTCAAGATCCCTGTCTGGGACTTGCCTGGTGATCCAGTGGTTACGACTTCACCCTCACAATGCAAGGGACCCCAGTCTGATCCCTCATCAGGGAACTAGATTCCACAAGCTGCAACTAAGAATCCATAAGTTGCAACTAAGAATTCATATGCTGCAACTAAAAAAAAAAAAAAAATCCTGCAGACCACAACTAAGACCCAGCACAGCCAAAATATGTAATAAAATTTTTTTTTAAAGTAAATGACTTTTAAAAAGATGCCAAGCTTAGTTGTCTTGGGTTTATAAATGAGGAAATAGCTGCTCTTCTCATGAACAGTAACAATATTAATGGCAACTACCACAGTGAGCATTCTGTGAAGGGCACGTAACACATATAAATTCACTGGAGCCTCAAAATTAAGCTCATTTTGTAGCTGAGAGAGCTGAGGTACAGAGAGGTAAAGTAACAAATCAAGACTGCACAGCAAATAAGAATCATGGCCAGCAGTAGGCCCATGAAAAGATATTCAGCCTTGCTAATTGTTAGAGAACTGCAAATCAAAACTACCATGAGGTATCACCTCACTCCAGTCAGAATCAGTTCAGTTCAGTTCAGTTGCTCAGTTGTGTCCAACTCTTTGCGACCCTATGGACTGCAGCACACCAGGCCTCGCTGTCCATCACCAACTCCCGTTGTTTACTCAAACTTATGTCCATTGAGTCGGTTAATGCCATCCAGCTACCTCTTCTTCTGTTGTCCCCTTCTCCTCCTGCCTTCAATCTTTCCCAGCATCAGGGTCTTTTCCAATGAGTCAGTTCTTCGTATCAGGTGGCAAAAGTAACTTGGAGTTTCAGCTTCACCATCAGTCCTTCCAATGAATATTCAGGACTGATTTCCTTTAGGATGGACTGGTTGGATCTCCTTGCTGTCCAAGGGACTCTCAAGAGTCTTCTCCAACACCACAGTTCAAAAGCATCAATTCTTTGGCACTCAGCTTTATAGTCCAACTGTCACACCCATACATGACTACTGGAAAAAACCAGATTTGACTAGATGGACCTTTGTTGGCAAAATAACGTCTCTGATTTTTAATATGCTGTCACGGTTGGTCATAACTTTTCTTCCAAGGAACAAGCATCTTTTAATTTCATGGCTGCAGTCACCATCTGCAGTGATTTTGGAGCGCAAGAAAATAAAGTCTGTCATTGTTTCCACTGTTTCCCCATCTATTTGCCATGAAGTGATGGGACCAGATGCCATGATCTTAGTTTTCTGAATGTTGACCTTTAAGCCAACCTTTTCACTCTCCTTTCACTTTCATCAAGAGAATGGGAAAGTCTAGAGATCTCTTCAAGAAAATCAGAGATACCAGTCAGAATAGCCATCATTTAAAAGTCTACAGATAATACGCTTGAGAGGGTGTGGAGAGGGTGTGGAGAAAAGGGAATCCTCCTACACTGCTGGTGGGAATGCAAATTGATACAGCCATTATGGAAAACAATATGGAGTTTCCTCAAAAATCTAAAAATATAATTGCTATATGATCCAGCAATCCCATTCCTGGCCATCTATCCAGACAAAACTCTAATTTAAAAAGATACATGTACCCGTATGTTCACAGAAGCACTGTTTACAATAGCCAAGATGTGGAAACAATCTAAATGTCCGCAGACAGGTGAATGGATAAAAAAAAAGTGGTACATGTATCAGGGGAATACTAGTCAGTCATAAAAAAAAATTAAAATACCATTTGAGCAACATGAATGAACCTAGAGATGATCATACTAAGTAAATCAGAAAGACAAATACCATATAATATCACTTACATGCAGAATCTGAAATATAACACAAATGAACTTATCTACAAAACAGAAACAGACTCACAGACATAGAGAACAGACTTGTAGTTGCCAAGAAAGCAGCGATGGTGGGGAAGCATAGATTGGGAGTTTGGGATTAACAAACAATTATATATGTGTGTGCGTGTGTGTGTGCGCGCGGAACTGAATCACTTTGCTGTACAACAGAAACTAACTCAACATTGTAAATCAATTGTAGTTCAATGAGTGTGTGCTTCATTCATGTCCGACTCTTTGTGACTGTATGGACTGTAGCCCACCAGGCTCCTCTGTCCATGGGATTCTCCAGGCAAGAACACGAGTGGGTTGCCGTGCCCTCCTCCAGAGGATCTTCCTGACCCAGGGATTGAACCCAGGTCTCTTATGTCTCCTGCATTCTTCTTTACCATTAACACCACCTGGGAAGCCCTAAAATAGAAACAAACAAACAAACAAACCTATTTCCAGGATTTGATCCCTGGAGAAGTCTGGATCAGAATTTTCATCTATCTCATGTTGTCTTTTACTGCTTACTCACCTGTGTCTGTCTCATTCTCTTAAGTGCAGAAGTTTTGTTATATCTTTTCCTAGTAATACCCACCCCCAGCTACATCCTCCCCACCCACCCAAGACTGAGCACACAGTAGGTGCTTCAGGAGTTGTCCCTAGACAGGCTGTCCCCGAGACAGGTTCCCTAGACAGGGCCATGTCTCCTGACACCAGGTGGCAGCATTGGCCAAAAATTCTCTCAGAACTCTGCGTCTAGAACCGTCAGTCAAGTAAAAATTTAAACTTTTATTTCTGGTACAAATGATAAATATTTTGCATTAAAAATCTGGAATTCAAGTTTTCCTCATACTTCATGCTCCCTCCCTGTCCCAGAACCTTACAAAAATATTTCTGTTTAGAGGGAGCCAGCCAGCACCTGCTCCCTCGGCCAAGTCCAGGTTTGCAGAAAGGCACATACGGTCTGTGTCAGGGCTGGGGATGGTGGCCTCAGAGGCCAGCGGTGAGAGGAATGCATTGAGCTCCGTGGCTGGGGCTGCTCCCCCTCCGGTGCAATGATTCTCCCCCTCCTTGCTGGGCAGTGGGACGGCGCACAGGGGCCAGGTCCTTCCCAACGGTGGGGCAGGGGTTGTGTGTGGGGAGGTGGGTAGACAGGCACAGTCACCTTTCAGGGTCTAAACCTTCGAAGAGTTAAATAGGAGAGTCATAGGCCGTCACATTTTGGGTGCTTGAAAGTGAACATTTCGGGGAGATGAAGGAGGGGAGGCAAGCTTGGAGAACCCCCCTTCTCCCTGGGTCCCCAAGGGAGGCACAGGGCAGGAGTGGGGGCTGCCTTCATGAGTTAACCCTTGCCACACCACACCCCTTTCACAGTCACAGATGAGAGGGCCAGAGGCTCCAGGATTAGGTGATGGGAAGGAAGAGCGATAAGGCCTTGGTTGTCGGGGCTGGGGGGGCACCCCCTCTGGCGGCTCGGGGAGGGGCAGTGGGTCCTTGGCAGCTGCCTCGGGGACCACCCCTCGTCCCAGCCGGGCTAGGGATCCTCATCCCAGAGGCACAGCTGCTTCTGGGGCACGTAGAAGTCGAAGCTATAGTTCTTCTGGCAGCTGCGGATGCCGCACTTGTAGGGCGCTGGGCGGTCGCGGCCGTGGCAGTACTTGAGCATGCAGGGGTACCAGGCGAGGCTCAGACCATAGCGGCAGATGCAGGGCTTCCCGCGGTCCCCCACCTGCCCGCAGCGAGGCAGCAACACCTGCTCCGAGGCCTTGGGGAGAGCCTCGAACACGGAGCCATCCACACCTGGGAGAAAAGGCGGGGGTCAGGGTGGGGGCCCTGCACGGCCCCTTCAGGCATTCCAGTGCCCCCAGGAGCTAAGTGTTATCCTTGTTTTACAGATGAGAAAACTGGCCCAGAGAGGTTATTGGCCTAGCTGACGTCACACAGTAAGTAGGGATTCAGGACTGTCTGACTTCAAGGCATCCACTTACCCTTGCCTGTGCCACACCACCCTACGCCTAAAACCATTACTATGCTGGACATGATGGCACAAAGGCATGGGGAGGAGGAGCAGGAAAGCAAGGGAAGCTTCTAAAGGAGGTGGTATCTGAGGAGCGCCAGGGAGGGAAGGGCTAGCACAAACATGCTGGGGAAGCCAGGGTAGCCAGGACACAGGGTACACTCGGGCGGGGTGCTGGGGGCACAGAGCAGTGACCGAGCCCAGGCTCAGCTCAGCGACCACGGGAGGGACAAGCCCCTGGTCCCTGGGGGACAGCATGTGGCTTGCACCTCGGTCTGGGGTGCAGCCCACAGGGGAGGGGCGGGTGTTGTGGGGGGCACGGCCACAGCTCTGTCGGGTTTTTCTAAATCCAGTGGTGCTCTGGGAGGAGCAGGCATTTCTCTTATGTTCAGCCAGCCAAGCAGAAGGACCAGGGAACTGGCGTTAGAATGGCGACATCTCTCTGCCCTCCCTACAGAGAGGAGCCAAGGACAGGGCTGGGAAAGATGACCGGGAGATGGGCCAGGAGTGAGGTCACACAGGCCCGGAAGGCAGGGGCCAAGCCAGGATGGGAGGCGTTCTCCAGGGTCCTGGGGGAGAGACACTGGGCCCCCAGAAGGTGTGAAGGGAAGGAGTGGAGCTGAACTTTGAGAGGCAGCAAGCAGAGGTAGCCAGGTGGGAACGGGTGTCCCAGGTGGGAACGGGTGTCTTTGGGCCCCATCCAGACCCTGCTTCCTGCGCATGTTCACGACAGGTTTCACCTGTGTTCTCACTCAGGGCACAGATGGGGCAGGGGTGGGGCTGGGGAGGGTGGAGTTGTCTGGGAATTCCCTCCTCAGGGCCTAGCAGAGTCACTGTTCTGCATGTCCCTACCTGGAATTGATCCCTTTCATTGGCTCCCCTCAATAAAGAGCCACACAGGCATCACTTCCTCCAGGAAGCCCTCCCTGACTAGTCCCAGCTGGGTGGAGAATTCCCCTATCCCATCATATTTGAGATGATACAGCAGTGGGCCACACCCAGTTGACCTTGCTCCAGCCAGAACCGGACGTCTTCCTGGCGGGTGTAGATGGCATCCACAGCCTCGGCACACACGTTGCGGAGATGGGGGCTCAGCAGCGCCCCCTGGCTGAAGTTGACGGCGATGTCCATGTGCATTTGCTCTGGGCCCCGCACCTCCTCAGCCTGCCGCACTGCCCGTGGGTTTTTCTGGGTGGAAAAGAAGAGTTGTACCCACCCGGCCTCAGACAGTGCCCTTCCCACTCTTTCCCTGGTCGCTGATTGTCAGACAAGCCCAGGCTGGCTGCCTTCAGATCCTTGGGGCCACCTGCAGGGTGACAGTCAGGGAGAACAGCCCCCCTTCAACTGGTGGAAAAACTGATACCCAGGGCACAGTCAAGCCTTTTCAGCCTGCCACTGGGCTGACTTCTAAGACCTAAGGGAGAATTCTGACATGTTGCTGGGAAGGTGGGGGTGGTGTTGGAGGTGGGCAGGGCAGGCCAGTTGTCCCAGGGTCAATGACCGCTGTGGTCCTGTACTTTCCAATATCCAGGTAACTGAGTTTCTCTGGGAAAAGCAGACAGAAGGGTGGGACTAAGGACAGGTCCTGCTGAAGAGTTTAGGGAGCTTACATGAGGCTGGGGAGAGGCCCAGGGTCGGGGAAGGGACTGGGAGCAGGCTACAGGCTGAGGGGTTCCAAAGCTGCACTGAACACTTTACATGCTCCATCCCACTTAATTCTCACCATAACCCATCTCTCAGTAAGAAAATAGGGGCTTTGAGGGACTTTTCTGGAGGGCCAGTGGTTAAGACCAAGCTTCAAATGTAGCGGGTGCGGGTTCCATCCCCGGTTGGGAAACTAAAATTCTACATGCCCTGTGGCATGGTCAAAAAAAAAGAAAATAGGGACTTGGAAGGGAAGTGACGCGTTTAGAGTCACCCAGATGCTGAGTGGCGGTGCCACAGCTGAAGGCAGATCTGACTTGCCTCCATCATAAACGGGGAGGGGCTGAGGTTGGGGGCAGGGAGAATTTGAGAGATAGGGGTTCAGTGCAGACTAGGGATCTGGGGTTATGGCATCAGGTGTGGCCCGGGGCATAATCAGGGGGTTCAGGAGTAGAGGCTGAGTGTGGGGCCAGGGATTAGGTGGATCAGGGTGGGGTGGGAGATTGAGCTTGGGGTGGATGGGGTCCAGGCCAGGGCTCATCTGCAGGGGTGTGGGCTCTGGGGCAGGCCTGCGGTGGGCACTCACCTGCCGGAGCTTGGCCATGGCCTCGCTGGGAATGATCTCATTGTGGTGCAGCCGGGTAACGAAGCAGAGAGCCTGGAACTGACTCTGCCCCTTCTCCAGCTCCCCCAGAATCAAGGCCCGGAAGATCTTCACATCCTGATGGGGAAGGGCAGAAGGATGGGGGCTGGTTGGAGGGGGTGGGGCCTCCTCACCAGTCCCCCCACCCCGCCCAGTGCTCAGCTCAGACCCACCCCCCCCAAGAGGACACAGGCCTGGACACTGTCCTGCAATGGACACCTCCCTCCTGCTATCCTGGGAATTTCTCTTTTTCCCATTTAAACCCGTGACTTAAAAGAAAGAACACACCCCAGATGTTCCAAAGCCTTCTGGAAAATTCACAGAGTGAACAGCTAGAAAGCTTTCCAAAACAAGGCTGTTTAAAAAGCACAGAACTTCACCTTAAAGGAAACCACCCCTTTTGGCACCTGGTTCATTCATAGCTGATGCTTCCCCTCTGTGGCACTCCTGTGTTCCCTGATCAGGGTGAGTCAGGGCCCCTACGACCACCTGACCAGGGTGTCACAAGGGAGAGGCTGCACTTTTTACCAGCACAGATTTCAGAGTTCCTCTCGCTGACTTTCCCATTCAGTACGTTTGGGGAGAATGCCCCCGGTGCTTCTGGTCATCCAGGCTCCTAGCCACCGCATCTCAGATGGAGGTGGCGGGGTCAAGATGGAGTTAAGAGCAGACACAACAACAGCTGTTGCCAAGGGCGCTGCGATGGCTCACCTTTCCCTTTCCCTCCCCACTTCCCCTTTCCCCATGGGGTTACTAATGGCATGACCAGCAGGCCAAGGGCTCCTTCCTGTCACTGACTCACTGTGTGAATCAGGGAGGCCAGAGAGGGGCCATGGGATGGGGTTCCCCTTCCAAACGGGCTGCTGAAACCCTGGGCACCCGAGGTGTCCTTTGTTCTCACCCAGCTCTGTGCCTTGGCTAATGGCCCCCGATGAGACGTCAGCAGGTCCCAGTCAGCAGCGGTCTAAGTGTGTGAAGATCCCCTCGGCCTGGGAGGGACCCTGGTCACACTGATGGTTCCTCCAGGAACCCTAGTGGTCCTGTACCATCGCAGAGGGTATAGAGCTTATATAGATATGAATCCTTCAATGACCGTGCCCTGGGCTCACTCACCAAACATCCCAGTTCACTGAGCACTTCCTGCCAAGTTAAATGCTCTGAGAACAGGGTCTGAGGGGCCCCCTTGGATTCTGGTGTAGGCAGTGAGGGACCCAGGGTTCCCCTCCAAGTCTGCAGTGTATTAGTGGTGTCCAGGCTCATCTCCAAGTTTCTCTAAGCCTCGTTTGTAAAGTGGGGATGATGCCACTTTTACCTGAAGGGTTGTGATGAGGACAAAACAGGCTGCTGTGAAGGGAAAGCACAGAGAATGCCCGCCCCGAATCAAGGGCTCAGAGGCGCTGGCTGGGGCCACTGTCCCACTGCAGATGACCAGCCAGTGTTACAGGTGATCTCAAACGGGTCAGTGCTATCATCCCACAAATCCCCATGCCCTTTTTGTCCTTTTTATTTTTGTTTGTTTTAGAGTCTTTTGATGTGGACCATTTTTAAAGTCTTTATTGAACTTGTTACAATATTGCTTCAGTCTTAAGTTTTGGTTTTTGGGTCCCAAGGCATGTGGGATCTTATCTTAGCTCCCTGACCAGGGATCAAACTGGTACCCTCTGCGTTGGCAGGCAAAGTCTTAACCACTGAACCACCAGGGAATTTTCTCCCCACCACCACCCCCATGCCCTTTGGAATTCCTCTGACTCTACAAGCACTTTCCCTACTTCCCTTCACTGTAAATGGTCTCTGGAACATTGAGGGGTGGGAGTGTCCAGGGAGATTTTCCACCAAGATTGTAGAAAGGGAGACTGAGGCCCAGCTGGTGAGAAAGGTTATGTTAGGTTGCTCCTGGTCCCAGACTTGGAGGGAAGGTGAATCACAGCTCGGGTAACCTCAGCTTCCTCTCAGCAGGAAATCCGCTCTCGGGCCATGAGACTAGGCTCTCTTTGCCCTGCCAAACCTCGGTCATCCAATCTTCCACACCCTCGGGCCGGCTGAGGGGAGACTGGAGTTGGTACATGTGTGCGTTTTCCACTTGGTTTTTGCCAGGTGAGACTTGATACCAGATTTCCCCTCCTGGGGCTGGGTTAGGCAGATGTCCCTGGCAGGACCCCCAGGCAGGATCCAAAGTCCAGGTATTTTCAGCCATGACCCTTGAAGAGAATATCTTCTGGGATATTCACAGCATCTTCTCCGATACCACAGGCACGTGCCATAGCCTGTGGTCTGTGGGCTGCCCTGAGCTGGCCTCCTGGCTTGGACACCACCCATCTACCACTAGCCAGAGAAAGTATTTGAACTTCTAGACCAGACCAGGGGGTGAATGAAATCTGTCAGAATATCTTCCCTGCTTCTAGATTAAATAACAAAGTCAATGACAATAGCAAAATGCTACCAAAATGGGAATTTGACTGCGGGTGAAGCAAGGGGATGAGAATTTTTTGGTTGAGATAGATTTCCTCTATGTCTCTCATTTATTTTTACAAAGGACAAAGATTTATTGAAGTTTATAACTGGAAGGGACAAGTCACTGTTACCATGAGTCAAAAAGATTATACTGCCCCATTCAAATCTTCACAACAACAGGAGGTAGTAACTATGATTATTACTGTGTTTGGATTGGATAACTTGCTCAAGGTCATGAGACCAAAAGGAAATGCAGCCAAAATTTTTAACCCAGGCAGCCTGCCTCCAAAATCCAAATTCTCACAACCACAATGCACAACTGCTTCTAGATCAACTAATCCAATGTCTTTGATGCCCAGTTACAGACCAGATGGTTAGGAGTCTGCCTGCAGTGCAGGAGACTTAGGTTCAATCCCTGGGTCGAGAGGATTCCCTGGAGGAGATGGCAACTCACTTCCGTATTCTTGGCTGGAGAGTTTCATGGACAGAGGAGCCTGGTGGGCTGCAAACAGTCGAACACGACTGAGCAACTACCACTTTCACTTTCTAAAGAAACTAAAGCTCAGGCCCAGACAGAGAGTGTGGTCTGCCCACAGCCACACAGCCAGTGAGTAACAGAAGAGAATGCAGGGCCCTCTTTCTGCCACGTGGTCTGCGTGTCTTCTGCAGACCTGCCCCAGGACTATGGTGCCTCCCATTCAAGGTTGTGTGTGACTAACAGTCAACAGCATCTGACGCAAACATCAGGGTAAGATGACGCAGGATCACCTTTCTAATCCCTCTGCCTGTTCTGCCCATGGCCTCTGTAAACCCTGAATTTTCCAACCTTCTTAATCTGTATCTCCAGGAAACCAAGCTCCCTGTGCTGAGCCTGGGAGGGAGACAGCAGTCCAAGCAGCTGGATCTCTGTGGCTCCATCATCATGACCAGTGTCTCTCCTACCTTCTACTCCCCACGCCCCAGACTCACTCCCAGTACAGAGGACAGAGCAGGGGGAGAAGGCCCCTGCTTCAGGGAACATCTGACCAGATGCTAAGCTCCCGGGTTTCCTCCTTGCCCAAGAATCCCCTAAGATGATCCACCCAGATGTGGCCTAATGTCCAAGGCAGACAACACAGCTGGGGAAGAGCATATGGCAGGCTTTTCAGGCCCAGGTCTCAGGCTAGAACATCCAAGATGGGCAGTTTCTAAAGGCTCCTTCTCCCATGGGCTCCTAGGAGCCTCCAGCCTGCCAGGAACAGGCCACCAGGAAGAAGAGGAGGGGACGGTCACCAGGGCTGAAACTGGGCCACACAGAGGGGATGGTCACAGAGATACGGCAAGTCCCCTATATGCACTTTCAAGGTGCGAACGTTCTAAGATGCCAACGTGCATCTGGTCCCACCAAGGAACCAGAACCTGTGCCATCAGCGTCAGGCGAGCGAGCTTGCAGCTGGCCCTCCGCCTCCTGTTGCTGACGGTCCTTCAGCTCCACCACCTCCCACCCCCTCTCCCTCCTCCAGTCGCTGACTCTTCTTGCCTGTTCGCTCGATGCCAGCCCCTGTATGCCAGCTATTGTACCGTACTACTGTGCTTTTCAAGGTACTATATTGTAAGATTAAAAATGTTTTCGTTTCTGTGTTTTTTAATGTATTATTTGTGTGAAAAGTATAAACCCATGACAGTACAGTACTATATAGCCAACCGTGTTAGTTGGTACCTGGGCTAAACTTGATGGACTTAACGAACAAATTGGACTTACGAATGTACTCCCAGAGGGAACTCATTTGTATGTAGGGAATTTATTGTAGTGAGCATTTGCTGAAGTCCTTTGTGGGTGGTTTAAAGGTTCTCAGAGAGCAGGATAGTTAAGAGCAAAGGCTCTGGAGCCAGTGCTGCCTGCATTCAAACCCCGGCTTTGCTGATACATGCCATGTCATCCTGGGGGATGCACCTGACCTCTCTGTATCTTAGTTTCTACATGTATAAAGTGAGTACAACCAACAATACCTACACCTCAAGGAATTCCTGTGAGGAAAAATGAGTGAAAGGTCTCAGAACAGCATGGGCTGAACTCAGGAAAAATGAGTGAAAGGTCTCAGAACAGAATGGGCTGGACTTCTTCAGTTTTTCTCTAGAATTGTTGCAATCCCTGGCCTAGCTCCCACTGTGATCAACTCCAGACCTGCAGAGGCAAGAAAAAAGAGCTTTCTTCCAGAGACACACCAGAGCCCCAGAGAAGTCAGGTGACTCTGCTGGAGCTTGTAGGTAGTCAGCAAGTCGGTGGGAGAGTGCTGACTAGCATCACAGGTGGCAGGGCCGGGCAGCGGGCAAGACCAAGGTCAAGGCCCCAGTCTCCAAGGGACTCATAGGGGAAGCTGACCTACAACTGAAGACAGGGCCCATGATGAGGCCTAGGGTTGAGGCTTATGCAAAGTGCTATAGGATAAAGGTGGAAGTGAAAGTCGCTGAGTTGTGTCCGACTCTTTGTGACCCCATGGACTGCACGGTCCCTGGAATTCTGCTATAGGGTAAAGGATGGTTGAGGAAGTGCTCCCATCCCTTTGGGTGTGGGGCTGGGAGGGGTGGAGGGAGGGAAGACTTCAACTAGAACAGGGGTCCTCAACCTTTTTGGCACCAGAGACAGG